GCCTTTCCCTTCCCGGCTGGGGCTGTTGGGAGTCGCTGCCGCCGGAGGCCGCGACTCCACACCATTTTTTTTTCAGAGGGGAATCTGACTCGAGTATAAGCCAAGGGGGATTTTTTCAGCACAAAAAATGGGCTGAAAAACTAGGCTTATACTCGAGTATATACAGTATATTTACTTGCTTTTGTTCATGATTGATGTGCTTTAGAGGTCAACTTTTAAATTTTCTATGTGACCAGGCATTTCGCTTTTGTCTCTTCTCACTCTTCTTTCCAATTATTTTGATTCTGCCCCCATCCTCCACCCCCAGAGAAAAGACAAGTTGCGAGAACACATGCAGAGAATGCACAATCCAGAAAGAGAAGCCAAGAAAGCGGACCGAATTAGTCGCTCCAAAGCCTTCAAGCCCCGGATCGCCTCTACGGATTATGAGAGTTTCATGTTCAAGTGTCGCTTGTGCATGATGGGTTTCCGACGACGAGGCATGCTGGTGAGTTAGATATTCCAGACCCCTCAAAACCCTAGCCTATGAAGCTCCACTAATGAAAGCTGGAGGTTAAGGTTTCCCCTGTCCAAATCTGGGGCACCATGCTTGTAAGCACTGGACTTTTTCCCTTCAACCGAAAAGAATGAACTTCTGAAAGCTGGATATTTCAAAAGGAATCCTTTATTGAAAGGGAGTGAATCTCAGCACTAGTCAAAGCAGAGTCTAAGGTGTTTCCAGGCATACAGTAATAGATAAAGGGAGTTAGAATCCGTCCCCTTATTTAAATGTGGATTTAGTCAAACAAAGAACCAACATGTTAATCCCTCCCCTTCTCTGGGAACGTATCTTAGAAGAGTTCCCAGGGGTATCTTCCAGAGCTGGAATTTTTATGGTCCCTTCTCATCTTGTTATCTCTTCAAGAGGTGACAAGTTTCTAGACATCTGGCTCCAATCCTCCAGTTGTATATCATGTGCAAGTTATACAGAATCAATCTAAGATTCAGGGTACATCAAAAAGGATTACTTGTACCAACTTCCCCTCCCCCCTTCTTCCATTGAAGAATGGCAGATACACGGATCTGACAATGCTGGTCTCTTGCTTCCCAGCTGAGGGAACCAATGTTGTATGAAGACCCTTCCCATGACTGTCAGCATTCCAAGTAATAAATACATCCATAGCAAACAGAACTCCAAGGCAAGATGATTCCTCAAAGAACAGTTTTATTTGGGGATATCATATTGGCACAGACTAGTGAAAACCAACTCTGAGAGTTCCCACGATTTTCCACCTCATTAAAAAGTGAAAGTTTCCCTTTCCCCAAAACAATAAGTCACATTGTCCAATCTAGGTTTACTTCTCTCTTCCTCCACTCTTCGGCCAGCTGTTGGAATATCCTTGGTTCACAGGAGAAATTGTTTTGTTTTGGCTACAAAAGCCCAACTGTCTCTATTCCCCCCCTCCCTACCCCTCAGCTCCAGCGTGACAATACTGAAGCCTAAAAAATGGCCTCGGTGAGACCAGCTTCAGGGTTGACAGTGGTCATGTGGCGAGCATGAGTGTATGCCAAGACTCATGGAATGCTGTTATCTTCCCACCAAAGTGGTACCTATTTGTCTACTTGCATTTGCATGCTTTTGAATTGCTAGGTGGGCAGGAGCTGGAACAAGTAATGGGAACTCATCCTGTCCCACCATGTTTGGGTCTCAAACAGTGTCTTTCACCACTGAACCACCACACGCTCTCCATTAACTAGACACCATTTAATAAAGGCAGTCTGTGTGAGCTTGAAGGGGTTGTTTTTGTTTTTGTTTTTTAAATTAAGAGCAAGGATGGACAATCCCCAGGACTGAGACTGCATGCAGAATCAAGTTCTTTTTGGAGTTCAAGAGGCTCTTGAAAATGGACCATTGTTTTCCTTCTGCTGTCAGTGGAAAACCATCTTAAGTTGGCCATCCCATATTTGGAGCAAGGATTATAGGAATATCAAGCAAAATTGCTTTCTTACAGAAACACCCTTTGTTGTTTCCCTTCAATATCGCTTCTGTGAATTTATGGCACTTGTGCTGCCGTCCTTCCTAGGAACATTGGAGCTTCTTCTGTAGTATTCTCACAAATACGCTGTGCCAATGATTAGATTTAAGAGAAGGATTTAAGAAAAGTCTGGCCATGGATTGGAAGTTTCAAACCCTAATACTATACCCCATCCAGGCACCATATTATTTATTAAAATCAGGCTCTCTTTGGCTGAGAAACAAGAGAGGTACTTGACTCATAAATGAAGTATTATTTGTAGCATGATGTGAATAGGTTCACAAATGGCTGAAAACAGCCATCCTGTTCATCAAATAAACAAATTACCAGAGGCCCAGAAAAATCCAGATTCTGCCTAACCTTCGTACTTTTTAAAAGGGAGATTTCCCCCCCCCCCCTTTTTTTTTTTCTTTTCATTTGTTGGCTTTTAAAACTCAGAATTTACTCCAGTGGGTTTATTTAATTTTTGTCATAAATTTGATAAGATTTTTCAACACTGGTGCCTCTGAATTTGGAAATTGCGTTCAGAGTAGACTCCATTTAATGACTTCTTGATGTTCAATACTATATTGACTGTTGAGTGGGAATTAGTATTTTTGCAGTAGAATAGAATAGAGCTGGAAGGGACCTTGGAGGTCTTCTAGTCCAGCCCCCTGCTCAAGCGGGAGAACCTATACCATTTCAGACAAGTGATTGTCTAGTCTCTTCTTCAAAAAGTAGATGGACCACTTCTCCATTGGTATATCATCTGGGTCTTCTTCCTTTAGGATTCCTGGATCTCTATGCCTTATTGTTGCAAGAAACTAAATATATGGTTCTTTGTTGTAACATAAACCGTGGTTCATTTTGTGGCTCTAATGCTTTTTTTTAAAAAAGTGATTTCCTTTTTTTTTTTTAAATCTTAGGTGAACCATTTATCAAAGAGACATCCTGATATGAAAATTGAAGAAGTGCCAGAGCTAACACTGCCTATCATCAAACCTAATAGAGATTATTTTTGTCAGTACTGTGATAAGGTATGAACTGAACCCACCTCTATATCGGCTGTATTCAGGTAGTCCTCGACTTACAACAGTTCACTTTGTGACTGTTCCAAGTTACAACGGCACTGAAAAAAGTGACTTATGGCCGTTTTTCACACTTATGACCGTTGCAGCATCCCCTCTGGTCACGCGATTTACATTTGGATGGTTGACAGCTGATTCACATTTACAACGGTTGCAGTGTCCCAGGGTTCCTGGGATCAACTTTTGTGACCTTCTGACAAGCAAAGTCAATGGGGAAGCCAGATTCACTTAACAACTGGGTTACTGATATAACACCTGCGGCGACTCACTTAACAAATGTGGCAAGGAGAGTCATAAAACGGGACAAGCTCACTTAACAAATGTTTCACTTAGCGACATAAATTTTGGGCTCAACTGTGGTCGGGACTCAAGGGCTACCTGTACATGGGATTAAATGTAACTGATCTGGAGATTTTCTTCCTTCAGATTGAATTATTAGTTGCTCAGAGGACCCAAAAAGAGAAATTTCTAGGAGGCACACACACATGTCTCACATACTTTTTAAAAGAGGATAAGCATATATTTTACCTCTGGAAATCCAAATTGCTCTTTTATTAGAAGATTAGAGTATTTTGAAGATTGAAAGAACTGCTGTATAGAATGAGGGGGAGCTGTGTTATATAAGGCATACTGTATTATCTCTTTGGTTTTCCATTAGCAATCTCTAAAATGTGATTTTTTTAAAAAATAATAATATCAAAAACCTTTGGCTACTCAACCAGATTAACTAATAAAGCTATCCTACTGAAGGACACATGTCATCTGCTAAGGCGAATGAAAAGGCTAATGTTTGATTCACACATTCAAACAATTAGTCTTGATCCCTCAAATAAATAAGCAGGTAGAATAGAATAGAGATTGTTGTACAGAAACAAATAGCAGGCATGGTTCTATTAAAAAATGCTATTGTGGAATATATCTCTTAGATACGTTTCTGCAATCTGGTCAAAGAACAGTAAAGAGAATAAATGTGATTCTCTTTTTCATAAATACCTTTATTTGTGAAACTCCCGTTACGTTATATTAAAATCTCTGTTGTCTTTTAACTAGTAAGGCACTCTCTGGCTACATGCTAGTCACTGCGTTTCCATTTAGTTTACCTGGGATACTCAGTTTGCGTTCTAATAATCATAAAAATGAAATAAATTCCCTATCGATTAGTATCACAAGAAACACTAATTAAGGAAGCCCCTAAATAAACTCTTTATTGCAGGAGTGTATCTCCCAAAGTTTACAAGTTTTTCATTTCCTTTCCCTTCCTAGACTAGGATATAAATAAGTTGATTAAATATGGTGGGGTCCTTAGTGATCTCTGACCTTGCTTGTTTTCTTGCAGACGCTTCCTTACCCAGCTAGGTAACATTATCAGTGGTAGGAGGGAGCGAGGTTTGGTTACATGTTCTATTAATAATGGTTTTCTTCTCGTTCTTACATGGAATTTGACTGTGGATTTCTAACTTCTCTTCTCTCTTGCCCAGCCACCCAAATTCACCTATTTGTATCTCCCCGTTTGTATCTAGAGGAGGTACAAGGTAAAAAGTAATAAGTGTAATAAGATTGAGACTGGGTTAGGGACTTCTGTCCTCACTCTGAGTTTTGTTGGGGGAGGGGATGCACGAAGGGAGGCTCAGCCAATCTCATTGTACACATGTTGTACTCTGACAATAAAGGTAATAACTAAAAGGAAGCTGCCATATAGAGGATCTAATAAGTCGCCTTCCGAGGGAGGAAGAAAAGCTTCATCGTGGGACACCATCTCCGTTCCCACAGCTCCCTGTTCTATCGTTGCCTTCTCCTCCATCTTCCCTGAGCCTTCACGCTGCCCAGTAGGCAGGTCGGCAATCGGGATTCAGGACCTCGGACAGCTCCCGGTACTGGGCAGCTGCTTGGCAATTTAGAGATTCGGGTTAATGTCAGCGTTCCAACTAACCAACTCCAACTCAATAAACTCCAAGACAGGCACTTCCTCAAAGTTCCATTTTATTAGAGTTGTCATATTGGCACATCTGGGAAAACCCAAATCTGAGAGTTCCGGGTTTTCTCTTCCCAAAAGAAAATCAAAGATCCATCCCCTGCACCCACCAGTCCATCACATGGCCCAATCAAATCTTCGTCCCAACTGGAGACCTTCCTCCAGGCACTCCTCTCCAGGTGCAGGGTGACTTGTCCTTGATTTCTAAGAAAGAATGTTGTTGAGTCTAATCTTCTATTCTCTATGAAATCCCCTCTCCCAAATTCCCAGGCACAAAATGTGCCAGCCTCGAAGCTTCCAAGTAAAATATGGCTTCCAAGACTGACAGAAGCAGCCTTTCCCAGAAGTTGTAACTGGCTGTTATTTCTTCTGAAACAATTAACTTCCTTCGAACTATCATTGGTTGTCACGGCAAGAAACAGGGAAGGTGAAGTGATGACAGTTATCTATGAAGTGGCCTCATTTCACAAAGCCGTTGTGGCACAGCTACGGATACAAACCAGAAACTAGCGTGATCGCAGCGCCGTATTAATTCGGGCAGAGAACAAATGTGAGAGCTTGCGTTGTTACAGGAAATGCCACTCCAAAACTCATTGTTTTCTCACTGCTTCAACAGCTCCCTCACACATCTGTCGGTGTAAACACGGGAGCAAGCCAACAACAAATCTGCTTCTGAGTTGCCACATAACAGCTGGTGGAAGTAGAAATTGTTATCCAAGGGTCTCCCGGCAGTTGGCTGGGAGGCTAACACCGGACTGTTTCAAAGGCTGTGCCTGGGGGTCACGGATTCATTTTTCTCTTCTAGGTTTACAAGAGTGCCAGCAAACGGAAGGCCCACATTTTGAAAAACCACCCAGGCGCAGAACTTCCTCCCAGTATCCGAAAGTTGCGCCCAGCAGGCCCAGGAGAGCCGGATCCAATGCTGAGCACGCACACCCAGCTGACTGGAACAATCGCCACGCCGCCTGTTTGCTGTCCTCACTGTTCCAAGCAGTATAGCAGTAAGGTATGGCGGGTGTATGCCTAACACCCGGAGGTTTTCGTGTACCCACTTCCCTCTAGCTATTTTTTTTTTTAAAAAAATCTGTAATAATTGCATATGTTGTTGTTGTTAGTCACAAAGTTGTATCCGACCCATCATGACCTCATGGACGGCGTTCCTCCAGGCCTTCCTGTCCTCTACCACAGGGGTCTCCAACCTTGGCAATTTTAAGGCTTGTGGACTTCAACTTCCAGAGTTCCTCAGACAGCTTTGCTGGCTGAGGGACTCTGGGAGTTGAAGTCCACAAGCCTTAAAGTTGCCAAGGTTGGGGACCCCTGCTCTACCATCCTCTGGAGTCCATTTAAGATCACACCAGCTGCTTCAGTCACTCCATCCAGCCACTTCCTTCTCTGCCATCCCCTTCTTCTTCTTTTGCCCTCCATCGTTCCCAGCATTAGGCTCTTCTCCAAGTCCTTCTCATGAGGTGGTCAAAGTCTTTGAGTTTCATCTTCAGGATGCGGCCTTCCAAAGAGCAGTCAGGGTGGATCTCCTGTAGAACTGACCAGTTGGCTCCCCTTGCAGTCCAAGGGACTCGCTGGAGTCTCCTCCAGCACCAGAGTTCAAAGGCCTCCATTCTTTGGTGCTCAGCCTTCCTTAGGGTCCAACTTTCACATTGCAATTGCATATACTTGTGTAATATGAGTATTCATTGGATGTTCCCTCAATGGTTCTGTTTCTTTTAATTAGGCTACAGTTGAACGTATATTAAGCAATGTCCCTTTTGAAGCCCGGCTATCGTTCCCTCCCGTTGTAGAGTGTTGTTTTCTGAAAATACCATCACCTCGTTTAAAATGGTCCATCTAAGTTTCACTTAATTTTAAAAGATCATCTTCCATGGTTTACACTTCTCACATTCCATATTCAAGCTGCATGCAGTAGACCTCCTTTCAATATTAGTATCAAGAACCAAGATTTCCTGGGGAGCTTGGACTTTGCATTGCTTCCACAATGATTCATTAAAGTTATGTAACTTTTTCTAGTGATTAAAGGAATGTCTTTTGAGAGGCTTCCTGTTATTTAGCACCCAAACTATTTCCCTATAGCTCTCTTGACAGCAGAAGAGAAGTGGTTGCCGGAGCTTCTTCTCGTAGAACTGGAGCTAGTTTTAGAGATCTGTCTGTCTGTCTTGTCTGTCTGTCTTGTCTGTCTATCTGTCTAACACTATTTATAAACTGCCCCCAATTCTAATGTTCTCTGGGCAGCAAACAGCAAAACACAGAAAACGCAAAGGCAGACAATAAAATGATTGATAGAATCAAGAAAGACAGCCCTAAAATATTTCCTGTGATGGATACCCACATTCATCCTAGGGCCAAAGTCTTAGTGAAATATTGCAGTTTTTCACCTGCTTGTAAAATGCAAGAGGGCTCCGGGAAAAAATGTATTTCAGGGTGTGGGGCTACCCCAGAGCAGCACAGTCATCTAGCCATGGCCTTGTGTACTTCTTCAAAGGGGAGAGAGAATTCTCAGCAGCTTCTGTGTAGATGTATGGACTGGATAGACTCATTCAGTCCCGGCAAGACGATGCCTGAACACCTTGAGGCTCAGTTTTTGTAAAACAAATTTCCAAGTTTGTTGTTCAGAGCTGGAGAAATCAAGACTTCATGCCAGGATGAGAGAAATAGTAAATTTAGGTTGTGCTTCCATGTATGGACTGCTGTCTATATTTTGACCTGACTGAGGAAGATGTCCACAATCAGAGCTGATACCCCCCCCCCCCATCTTCTAACATTCCTTCTTTCTGCTTCTGCACAGACCAAGATGGTGCAACATATTCGCAAGAAGCACCCGGAATATCCCCAGATCCCAACGAGTACAATACACGTACCACTCACAACCGCAGTCATTAGTGCCACTCCTGCTGTCCTAACTGCTGACAGCACTTCCGGAGAGACCGTTGTGGTAAGAATTCAGGGATATTCAGTATTTGGAAGATCCGATGAAATAAAATAGCCATAAAAGGCCAATGTCAGCTATGGAATTCATCTCTGACACATAGTTGAAGGAAGTGGGAGGGAGTGATGTTAATTGAGTAGCTCTTAGTAGACAAAATATATTATTTTGATAGTTCAAGGTCACAGAGTGTGGCCGCAGAAAGAATTAGAACTTATTGTGGGATTGGTGCACGTGATTTATGATGTGAAAGAAAAGGGGTGGGTGTAGGTTGAGTCTTGTGGGAAGCCTGGGAGGAAACTTTAGTTTCGGAATTCCACAGAGGTGCCAAGTTTCTGTTTTAATAAAGCACTTTGAGATTATGGTTGTCTCGGAGTTACTGATTGGAACGGATAATTTCTGGAACCCTGACAGCCAAAAGATTATAGAGGGTTTTTGTTTCATCTTTAGATACTAGGATGTCTGTCTCTCTGTCTGTCTGTCTGTCTATACACATATACATATACATATACATATACATATATATATACATATATACACACACACATACACATATACACATATACACATATATGTACGGCATTCAGCTTTGTTCGGGTATTTTCCCATGTCATTATACTTGTGCTTTTAAAGTTGTAGCAACGTTCCAGCAGAATCTCATCTGCCATCATCAGGCTTCTGTATAGTGTTCCTCTGTGAGTCAGAGTTTCATAGCCGTTTCAGTTTTAAATTTGGGGCTAGCCTACCGCTGTGCCAGAATGGTTTTTTCTTCATCCTGATTGGTTTAAGAAAACATACATACATACATACATACATACATACATACATATATACACATACATACATACATATATATTATATATACATATATACACACACACAATTTAAAACTGTATAACAATCTTCCTTTCCCTGTTTTCCCCTTTGTAAAGACATCGGATTTGTTGACTCAAGCCATGACGGAGCTGTCCCAGACTCTGACCACTGACTACCGAACCTCGCAGGGTGATTTTCCACGTATTCAATATATTCCTGTATCACAATCCACAGCTGGCTTGCAACAGCCCCAACATATACAGTTGCAGGTTGTGCAAGTGGCTCAGGTGAGTGGTGTTTGCATTTCCTAGAAGGCAGAGGACTGGCTTGTGACAGCAATGGTGTTGAGCATCTCAGGAATAGAATGGAATGGAATGGAATGGAATGGAATAGAATGGAATAGAATAGAAATAGAATAGAATAGAATAGAATAGAATAGAATAGAATAGAATAGAATAGAATAGAATAGAATAGAAT